ATTAGAGGAACCTGAAGAGGACCAGATTGGCTGGAGCAGAGACAACCAGGAGGAGAGCACACAGACATAAAGTACACAGGCCTGGGGGTTAGCTCCATGGTAGAGCACTTGCTTAGCACTAACAAAGCTTTGGGTTTGATCCCCAGCACCAAAATCAACAATAAAACAAACACAGAAAAAAGAATCAGTGCTACAATGCTGCAACCAAGGAACAGAGCCGAAAGCAACCACTTCCCAGCCTTGGGGAGGAGGAGGTAGTGATTGGCAGAAAGGAGAGCAGTAGTTTCTGGTAGAAAGAAAACTTCCCTACTCTTTTCTGAGCTCTAGTCCGGGGTGATGGCACATGCCTATAATCCCAGCATCCAGGAGGCTGAGGCAGGAGGATCTCTGTGAATTTGAGGCCAACCTGGACTATACACTGAGTTCAAAGCCAGCCTGAACTACATAATGAGACCCTGTGTCAAAAGCAAACCAACAAACAAAGAACTAGGGTGGCCTGGAAGGACAAGCCTGGCCCCTGAATCCCTCCTTCTAGAGCAAGGATACTGACCTCGTAATCAGACATATTAAGGGGCTGAGGAGAAAGGGACTCAGTGCGGTCCCCTTCAGGAGTGCCCACAGGGCTGGCACCTGACCCAGGCTGCCCCTCCGAACACTGACAGCAGTCTGGCTTCAAGAAACTTCAACGAGGCAATACTACGCCTCTTTGTGTCTTGGTTCCTGTCCTGCTCAGAATACTGATTTAACATGCACAAAATAAAATGTGTAGAATTGCAATGGAAACCAATTATTTTGACATGGTTATCAAAATACAGAAAAGTATATTGCAATTCAGATATATGTGCCTTCTTAGTGCATTAGAAGGACCGAGTGCTGGGTTAGGGATGTAGCTCAGTACTAAACCTGGCCTGGTATGTGAGAGGCCCTGAGTTCCATCCCCAGCACTAAAAGAAAAAAAGAAAAGAAAGATCTAGCATTTGCGTAATGACTACCATAATTGTGAAATGAGGAGTATAAACAGTATATTGAGATGTATTCCAAGATAACAGCACAACAACTGATCTGGGCAGGTATCCAATATTTGACAGCCTCAATAAAACATTGAGCCAGCTGCAGCGGCACACGACTGTAATCCCTCCTTCTTGGGAAGTAACTGCAGGAGTCTCATTTGCGCCCAGACGTTCTAGCCCAGCCTGGGCAGCATAGTGACCCTCTCTAAGGGGAAAAAATCTGCAAAAAAGTTATTGATAATACCATTAACACTGTAGTTGGGCCTCGATTTATGATGAGATTCTATCCCAAGAAACCCATCATGCTGGGCATGGTGGCGCACGCCTGTAATCCCAACAATCGAGAGGCTGAGGCAGGAGGATGGCTGTGAATTTGAGGCCAGCCTGGATTACAAAGCAAGTTCAAGACCAGCCTGAATTACAGAGCAAGACCCTGTCTCAAAAAAAAAAAAAAAAATCATAAATTGAAACTGTCCTAGCATGGTTTAACCTCACGTACCTTAAACGTGCTCAGAACAGTAGCTTACAATTAGGCAAAATCATCTAACACAAACCTATCTTAGAATAAAGCTTTGAAATATCCCATGTAATTTGTTGGACATTGTACTGAAAATGAAAAACAGAACAGCAGTATGGGTGCTCACCATTAAGGGATGGCTAATGAACGTTAAAGCAGGGTTCTACAGAACACATACGGTTTGCACATCACAAAGCCAAAAACATCTCATTATTTTTAAGTTGAGAACAGTCTGTGCTATGATTTGTTGACTATGTTCTTTAGCTGGGTCTTTTTTTTTTTGTACTGAGAATTGAACTCAGGACGTCGCCCTTGCCAGGAAGGTGCTGTGCCACTGAGTTAAATCCCCAACCCCTTTATTTGGGTCTTAGTGAGAAGGTGAAATGGTTTTTCCCATTCAATTTCATGGATTCTTACAATCCCATGTCCCAGTTATGAACACCATGGCACAGGAAAATTAAGTCAGCAGGTCAGGCTTCAGCTTGATAGACTGCCCAGGAGGTGGGAGGGGGACACAGAGCCAAAGCCCCCTGGGGTCAAGGAAGACTTCCAGATGGAACTTTGAGACAGCTTTGGATTTTGATCCAGAGATACAAGTGGACAGAACCCGGCATAGTTATAAAGCAGGGGTGAGGGGATTACAGGTTACACTGGCACTCACAGGCAGGTTTGGCTATTAACAATTAATTCCCTTTAAGGTGTGGAAATGGGTCATCAAAAGTGAAGCACCTTAGCTGGGTGCAGAGGCACGAGCCTGTAGTCCCAGCGCTCAGAAGCCTGAGGTGGGAGGATCGCTTGAGCCCAGGAGTTTAAAGCCAGCCTGGGTGAACATGGCAGGACACTGTTTTTTTTTTTCTTTAAAATCAAGCGAATCTCCTTAACAGAGTCAGGCCACAGGAAGTGGCAGGTCCTCAGAAGCTCACTGTGTTCTGATTCAGAACCCCACTCCTCCTTACACAGGGAGAATGAGACTGAGGATGCCTTCAAATGGAGGCTCTGAGTTCAGGGTAAAAGCTGGGGCCCAAGAACCAGACGGCCTGACTTCTCCACTTATTATTTGTGTGACTTTGAGACATTTATTTGCACCCTTTTCCCCCCCGTGTGAAATGGGAACAATAGTCAGTACAGCCCAAAGCAACTAAATGTGAATTTAAAAAACACTTGAGTTTAAAAAACACATGGATCACAAAGTAGTCTCCTTCTGCAGAGTTTTCTTCTTGGTGTTTTGTTTTTCTTTTTTCTTTTTTTTTTTTTTTTGTCTTCTTGAGACAGGGTCTCATTATGCAGTTCAGGCTGGCCTTGAGCTCACTTTGGAGCCCAGGCTGGTCTCGAACTCGCAAAGATCCTCCTGCCTCCGCCTCCCGAGTGCTGGAATTACAGGTGTGCACCACCATGCCCAGCAACGGTGTCTTGTTTTTCTGTTTGTTTGGCTTCTTTGAGACAGGGTCTCATTATGTAGTCCAGGCTGGCCTTGAACTTACTGTGTAGCTCAAACTGGCCTCGAACTTGTGGTGATCTTCCCGCCTCAGACTCCCAGTGTTGGAATTATGGGTGTGTGCCACCAAGCCTAGCCAGAGCTTTCTGTGTGAATCAGCACAGTGACTGCTCCCCCAGACCCCCTTCAGTGTCTGCCCAGAGAGTTCTAGGTGAGGGAATAGGGGACTCCAGGGTCCAGGGGAGTGGCTTGCCCTTAGCTCAAGGGGAGGTTAAATAACTGGCCATCCAGTTGCTGCAGGCAAGAAAGTGGGTGAAGAAACACCAGCATCAGCAGAATCCTACTAGGGGAGGAGAGGGGTGGATCGCTGATCGAGGGTCAGGGAGGCCCCACCCCTGCAGCTGATGAGTTCAAGTCCAGGGTGAGTGGGGGGTAGTGAAAACAGAGCTTGCAGTCAGCCAGTATTGGGGCAGGCTCTGTGCCGTTGTACCGGGTTCATACTGCACAGCTCCAGGGCACCTTGCCATTTATGACGAGGGGAGTGCTCTTGGGAAGCACCTGGAGTTGCGCAACCCACGTATCCTACCTGAGTTCCCATCCCAGCTCTGCCCCTCCCTAGTTTTTTGACCTTGAGCAAGTCACTGACTGTCCGAGCTCATCCATAAAGTGAGACCACCACACCCACCTTAATGGCTCCTAAGGGTTCAATACGAAGTTCCTAAGAGTTGCTCATTAAACAGAAGCTTCACCTTCCCCAAGGCCACCACTTCTGCCCCTCCCAGGGGACCCTTTTCAAGCTTCAGGACACTGAGAGTGTGAGGTGCTGAGAGGCGAGGGCAGCTTGTACTGGGTGGAGAGAGAGGGCAGGACAACTGAGACCGGTAAGAGAAGGGGCCACAGTCCGGTCCAACTAATCCCTGCATCTGCTCTTCTTTGGGTAAACAGAGTGGGCAGGTGCCCCTTCTCCCGGAGGGCTCCTCTGGCTAATGATTCCTCAGTCCTCAGAGAGGAGCTGAGGTGGGTAGGCCCCTGACGTCTGGCACCCGCCTGTCTGGCGTCCATTCCTACCTCGTGTAGGCCTGAGGTCAGGCTTCTCCGGACTCAGAGACCTTGTGAGGAAAAGCATGGTTTCTGGTACCTCAGGTGATCCGTCGCATTTGCTCCACTCTTCCTTGCACAGTGCGGGGTGGGGGAACCTTTCACACATCCCGTGAATGTGGATGGAACTTCTGGAGTTGTGTCGTGCAGCAGCCAGGCCAGGATTGCTAAGAAGGAGGCCCTGCAGCATTCCCAAGACTGGGCACGATGCATTCATTCAGACAAGATTTGCGCCGAAGTCCCTTGGGTCCTGGGCTTCAAGGATCTAGGTGCCACAAAGCTGACCCTTGTCTTTGTTGAACTTACCTCCTAGCAGAGGAAACGAACACTAAAGAGTCGTACAAGTAAACACATTCTTACAGGCAGTTATAAGAGCTAGGGAAGGCAAGAGTGTCCTGGGTCTGCTCTTTCATCTGGCCACACTTGTCTCATCTCAGGACCCTCACCTGGGCACCCTGCAGGCCCCTTGGGCTGAATGAGGCCTTAGAACCAACTCCAGACACTGGTGTGGCTGGATTATAATGTCTGGACCCCCAAGGTTAAAACAAAGATAAGGTGTGCCCTCTCCTGCCACCATTTTATATTTATTTATTTATTTATTTATGTAGGTCTTTTTTTTTTTTTTTTTTTTTTTTGAGACAGGGCCTCACTATGCAGTTCAGGCTAGACTTGAGCTCACTTTGTAGCCCAGGTTGGTCTTAAAACCACAACAATCCTCCTGCCTCAGCCTCCCGAGTGGTGGGACTACGGGCATACGCCACCACGCTCGGCTCCTGCCACCATTTTAAAATGTGACCTCAGGCTTGGGAATCCATGGGTTTCACAAGCTCTCCCCATGCTGCGACAGATGGCCTGGTTTCTCTGTGGGGCAGGAGGGGCTGAGACTCTGGGACACAGGCCTGCCCCTCTAACAACTCTTCTGCTCCCTTCCCGCCCACAGGAAGCCTACTGTGGCTACACCCTCATCCTCATGGCGGTCTTCTGGTGTACCGAGGCTCTGCCCCTGGCTATCACAGCCTTCTTCCCTCTGCTCTTTTTCCCTCTGATGGGCATCATGGAAGCCTCTGAGGTAAGCTCCTCACATCCATGGAAGGAAGGGCTCCCAGGGAGGGGGTCTTTCCTAGGAGCCCTGGTAACCAAGGATGCTGCATTATAGGCAGGGTTTGTAGAAGAAGGGTCCTTGCCTCTGCTTGATGGCTCAGAGAGCACTGAAGGAGGAATCAGCTAGAAGACCAGGGGGAGAGCATTCTAGAAAGGCATGTGGCTCATTCAATGAGGGCTTGGTTAGGGAGGTGCACAGCCTGGTGTAGGAGAAGGGCCTCGTCAGTCAGCTGAAGCCAGGCATGGTGGTGCACTCCTGTAATCCCAACACTCTGAGAGATTGAGGCAATCTCAAGCCCAATTTGGGGAACTTAGCAACTTAGCAAGACCTTGACCCAAAATTAAGAATAAAAATGGCTGGGGATATAACTCAGTGCAAAGGCCTTGGGATCAGTGTCTCGTACCACAGGCACAAAAGAAGAAAAAAGAGAGAGAGAGAAAGATAAGAAAAGAGAAAAGAAAAAAAAAAAAAGTCCAGCTGAAGCATTTATAGTGTCTTTCCTGGATATCACAAGGGATTAGTTCTGAGTCCCTGGCTGATTCCAAAATCCCAGGATGCTCAAGTCCCTCGTATAAAATGTCGTATTTACAGATAGCCTACACCTATGCCCATTACATTTCAAATTACCTCTAGATTGCTGGTAACACCTAATGCAATGTAAATAGTTGCTATACTGAATTGTTTAGGGAATAATGATGAGGGGAAGTGTGCATGCTCTGTATAAACATGATTTTTTTCAAACATTTTCCATCTAAGTTTGTTTGTATGCACAGACGCTGATGGCTGGCTGTAGACTACACCTTTAGTTCAGGGGCTCCTGAGCTCAAATGAACACTACAGTCACCTGGAAGGCTGGGTAAAACTCAGAAGGCTGAGCCCTATCCCTGGGCTTCTGACTCAGTAGATCTGGGATAGGGGTTTTTGGTTTTTTTGGTTTTTTTTTTTTAAGACAGGGTCTTGCTATGCTGTTCCGGCTGGCCTTGAGCTCACTTTGTAGCCCAGGCTGGTCTCAGACTCACAACGATCCTCCTGCCTCAGCCTCCAAGTGCTGGGATTATAGGCATGCGCCACCACTCTTGGCTTTTGGGATAGGGTTTAAACATTTAATCTCTGACAAGTTCCAGGTTATGGTAACGACATTGGCCCAAGGATGACACATATGCTGCTCTACTTTTTTTTTTTTGAGACAGGGTTTCACTATGTAATTCAGACTGGTCATGAACTTGTGGCACTCCTCCTGCCTCAGCCTCCTGAGTGCTGGATTACAGGTGTGCACCAACACACCTGGCTCTATTTTCTAGAAAGATCATGAAATGTTCTATCTCCCTCTCTCAATCCAAGGCTTGAAACAGGAATGAATCGGGCTGGATTGTTTCCCAATTATCCTGAGGAGAGAAAGAATGAGATTAGCAAGAAAAGGGGACCCTGGTTAATATCAAATGGCAGATAATCCGAAGGCCATTTCCATTTGAGAGCCCAGGGAATGCTACTGTGGGGAGAGGTCACGACCTGCACCTCAGAGGCCCAGGGCATTGTGGGAGACCGCAGGATCTTCCTGCCTCTCAGTCCTGTCTCTGCCTGGCAGATTGGCCTTGAGTACCTCAAGGACACCAATGTCTTGACAATCGGGGGGTTGATGATGGCCATGGCTGTGGAGCACTGGAACCTGCACAAACGCATCGCTCTCCGGACACTCCTCGTCATTGGGACGCGGCCCGCTCTGTGAGTTTCCACAAACTGCAATGGGAGGAGCGGAGTCCAGGGGCACTCTGGGAAGCTGGAATGGCAGTGTGTGCGTCTGTCCGTCTCTAGGCTGATCCTGGGCTTCATGGTGGTCACAGCCTTCCTGTCCATGTGGATCAGCAACACAGCCACCACAGCCATGATGCTGCCCATTGCACATGCAGTCCTGGAGCAGCTGCATAATACACAAGGGGACACCCAGGGAGAATGTGATAACCCCACCTTCGAGCTCCAGGAACCAAGTTCCCAGAAGGAGGAGACCAAGCTTGGTAAGACAGAAGAGGCAGACCTTTCCCAGCCCCTCAGTTCTTGCGGAAGGTCTGAGGGGCACGTCCATTCCCAAGGGTGATGATCTTGGAGACTTGGGGAGAGTAGAGTGAGGCAAGAGCCTCAGCGACCAACTTGTTCCAGATGGCCTGGAAATTTTCTTCTCTTAAAATGCCAAGATCCATGGGCTGGTGGGGGGCGGGTAGCTCAGCTTACCATATGCAAAGCCCTAGATTTGATCCACAGGACCATGGATAAGTAGATTGATTGAGTGACTGACTGATTGATGGATTGATTGATTTATAAATGCTAAGACTCACGTGCTGCGAATTCCCTCAGCCCAAGAGGCGTGGTCACTCCCGCAAGAAGAGAGCTGGAGTCTGGGTGGGCAGCAAGGAGTCTAGTCTCTATTCTTCCTGCCTGGTTTGGATAATCCTCTTTCCTTCTCTGGGCCTTAGTTTCCCATCTTTCAAAAGAGATTGGGCGGGCCAGGGATATAGCTCAGTGGCATAAGTGCCTGCCTGGCAAGCGCAAGGTCCTGAGTTCGATTCCCGGTACCAAAAAGAAAAACAAAACAAATCAAAAGAGGTTGGGCCGGGTGGTATCTGAGGGTACTCCCAACTGAGGCTCCAGGGAAGGCTGCATCTGCTCAGACTTGGGGTTGGCCGGCTTGTGTGTTCCTCCCAGCCCAGTTCTCAGCTGTCCACCAACAAGGTGCCCTGGAGGCCATAGGGCCCCAGACAAGCTCCCCGGAACTGTCCTTGGGCCCGCCCCCACCTGAGCTCCTCCTTGTTCCCAGAAAATGGACACGTGGCACCTGCTCATTCAGAGCCAAGAGCCAAGAGGACAGCAGAGCAGCTCCGCTTCACACAGGGTATGACCCTATGCGTCGCCTACTCGGCCAGCATCGGGGGCATCGCCACGCTGACCGGCACCACGCCCAACCTGGTGTTGCAAGGCCAGATGAACTCGTGAGTGGCAGAGGTGGTGCCCAGCAGGGGTGGGATGCACCCTCACTGGGAGGCAAGTGGGATCGGGTGGTCGCTGGGGCAATGTCACACAGCAGCCTGTGTCTCCTTCAGGATCTTCCCCCAAAACCCCAACATCGTGAACTTCGCCTCCTGGTTTGGCGTTGCCTTCCCCACCACGGTCATCTTTCTGCTGCTATGTTGGCTGTGGCTACAGATTCTCTTCTTGGGTTTCAAGTAAGTAGTGGGGTGGATACGAAAAGCCTAGGTCCTTGCCTGTACCCCTGAGAGCCTCCTGTTGGGTTCAGATGTGGAAAATGACCATGCCCATGAGAAGGCCCCTGCTTCCCAAGGCTCCTTGTGTACTCATTTGAAGGAGTTACTGGGAGGAAAATATTACCCCATTTAGCAGATGAGCACACTGAGTCTTGAATGGTCACAACTAGATTTGTCAATGCCAAGACTGAAAGCCAGGTCTTCTGATGCCCAGGCCAGACCCTGTCCTCTCACACTCCACAATCCCTAAATAAATGTGGTCAGTTATAGGAGCATTTGTTCTCCTACTGCATTCCTGGCCCACTGCATGTTGGGTAGTGAAAATACTGAAAGGCATTGTACAAAGACTCTGCAGCTCCCCATCTGATGGATGATATGGGGGTAGGGTAGGACGGAGGGGGGCACCCAGGGTAGTGGAGATTTTAGAAGGCTCCTGAAGGAGGCAATGTCTGAGCTGACCCTTACAGGACCACAAGTCATCCAAGTAGAAAATGGGGTAAAGGCATTCCAGACAGCAGAAACAGCTGGTGTAACGCAGAGGTGCTGGGCATAGTAGCACACGCTACTGGGAAGGCTGAGAAAGGAGGATCACACATTCAAGGCCAGACTGGGCAATTTAGTGAAACCCATCTCAAAACAAAAAGGAGAACAAAAAATTTGAAAGAAGGAAGGAAAGAAAGAGAGCAACAGAAAGAAAGAAAGAAAGAAAGAAAGAAAGAAAGAAAGAAAGAAAGAAAGAAAGAAAGAAAGAAAGAAAGAAAGAGAAAGAAAGAAAGAAGAAGCACACCCACAAGCTGTGTTTTGGGGAATTTTCATCTCCACAGAATTCTGTGGGGATGAAACAGAAATATCATAAATGAGTATCAGGGCTTGAAGCTCAAGAGGCAGCAAGGAGGAGCTGAGAATGATGGTGCATGCTTGTAATCCCAGCATTATGGGAGGCTGAAGCAAGAGGATTTCCTGGGCTACATAGCGAGTTCAGGAGCCCAGCCTAAACTACAGAGCAAGACCCTGCCTGGAAAAATAAATAAATAAAAAAGAGTTAAGACCTTGTCCTTGAGGCCAAGGGTAGAAAATAAGTTTCCTTCTTTTACTTGTAACCGTGGGCTTCTCATAGTCACTGTGTGGACTTCTCAGTTGAAAATCACCAGAGATACTGCTAAGGCTGTTTGAATCGAGTCTGTGATCGATTAGTGATGTCTACTGGGCACACAGGCCAGCAGAGGTGGTATGAATGGTACTACACTGTACTCATTATTTGTCCTGCCTTCCCAGGCATAGGGGAGCCATTGCAAGTTTTTAAGTATCATTACTGTACTTTGGGCAAATCACGTGGGCAGTTGCAAGGAGGCTGAATTAGGCTGAGAGCTGGTACAAGAGATCAGCGCAACGCAGGGCACCATGGACAAGTGAAAGATGTATGAAGCATGGTCTTTGCCCTTGAAGAGCTCACAGTCCAGCAGCTAAGTGAGATTTACCAAGTGAAAACTTAAATGCCTACACATGTTAAGTAAGCAGCACAGGGAAGCAGGCCATACCTTCCTCCACACTGACGACAATGTGGGTGGAGTAAGGCTGAGGCTGAGAGGATTCCAGAGCCAGAGAGGAGGATGGGAATTTCCTGAAAAGCTGCTGAAGGAGCAGAGCTGGGAGGAGGGCTAGGAGGAAGCCCTCCCGACCCTGGGCAGGGAGGACATAGCCCAAGAGACCTCTTGGAGGAAGAATGTCAACGGGGCAGAGGAGAAAGCCCAAGGTTGGGGAAACCCAGCTTCCCTGGCTAAACAAGGACCAAAATCCCCCTCCAAGTCCTCTGCTCTTCTCCAGGATCTTGGGTGGAGTGCAATCTTAGAGGCATGACCCCACCACGCCCTGTGCAGGCCTCAGGCTTGCATGTGGGCTCTCAGAGCACCTTTGCTTCCTGCCTGGGGCAGGTCTCTCATGAGCCACCCCTGCTCTCTGCCTGCAGCTTCAAGAAGAACTTTGGCATTGGAAATCAAGGGGAGGAGAGAAAGAAGGCAGCCCTTCAAGTCATCCAGTCACAGCACAGGCTGCTGGGCCCCATGAGCTTTGCCGAAAAGGCTGTCGCTGTCCTCTTCATCTTGCTGGTTATACTCTGGTTCACCAGGGAGCCAGGCTTCTTCCGTGGCTGGGGTAATCTGGCTTTTGCCAACAGCGAGGGGGAAAGGTGAGAGTTGCTGGGGGGAGGAGGGGAACACACCTGAGGCGCAATCCTTCAGGGGGGGGAAGGGAACAAGGCCTCCACTGAAGAACAGGGGGTGATTCTGGGGGCAAGGGGAATCTCACCAGGCTTGTCTACAAGAGGGTTCCTCTCCACCACCCTTACACTGTGAGTATCCCTGAGCCACTAAGCCTGGCCTCCCTCTCCCACCCACAGCTTGCCATCCGATGGAACCGTGGCGATATTCATCGGTATAATTCTATTCATTGTGCCCTCTAAGATCCCAGGGCTGACCCAGGACCCAGGTAAGCACCTGGCCTGCAGCTGGGAAGGTTTTCCAGGTAGACTTAGCCTTCGGGCATGGAATGGACATTTGACCACATTTGGCGGGAGTCAACAAAGTCCAGAGAGGTTAGGGTGACTTTTCTAAGGGTACAGGGGTTCAGGGGCAGGGTGAATTGGGATGTTACAGAACTACATTCACGAAGCTCTGATGGGCACCCACTCAAGGAGGTTCCAGCAGAGGGCGGGGCGGGAGAAGCCTGTGGCTCTTAGTGACCTGTTCTTCTCTGCTTGGGGAGTAGAAAACCCAGGGAAGCTGAAGGCCCCTCCTGCCCTCCTCACCTGGAAGCTAGTGAACGAGAAGATGCCCTGGAACATCATTCTGTTGCTGGGTGGTGGCTTTGCCCTGGCCAAAGGCAGTGAGGTGAGAGACTCCCAGCTCCTCCCCAACCTGTTGGAGGGGAGCTCTGTGGCAGGAGAGAAGGGCCCTGTTTCTGTACCAGAGAAGGGAAACAATCCTCACTTGGGAGGAGGTCCCCACCGTGGGCAGAACCTCTGCAGAAGCTGGAGGGAAGCAGGTGACAGCCCCAGCCAGGAAGGAGAAAGGATGTGCCCTCAGGATCTGTGCCCGGTGGGCTCTAAAAGCCAAAGGGAAGGCAGGTTTCTCTGGTGAGTGGGATCCTTCTATAGCCCCTTATCCAGGCCAAACAGAAAATGCATATTCACTGCAGCAATGGGGTGACACGGTCCTCCTGCTGCAACCACCAGGGGGCGCCATGCTCACACCCCACCGGGATCTTGGGACCAGGCCATCTTTCTCCAGAGACTCCATCCAAAAGAGGGAAACAGATTTTTGAAACTGCAGCCCTGGGCCTCCGTGTTCTGACTGAGCACACCCACTGCGCAGACAGGAGGCAGCTGTCAGGGATCCAGGTCAGGGATCAGTGCAGGGTCTGTGCTTGCTGACTGCCAGGCGCCATGCTCGGGACCAGCAGAACGAGGTGAAGCCTTAGGTCCCTGCACAGCAGTGCAACGCTAGCAGCGGGGCTTGCAGACGCTTTACAAAGGAGAGCAGGGCAAGATCTTGGTCTCCCCTCCACTCTGCCTCCCGCTAGGACCAGAGTCCCCTTAGCCCAACCCATTGGGTTGGGAGAGGACAGGAAGAGGGCTACGGCTGTCCAGAGACCTTCTGAGAGGCGTCAGGAAGACGAGGGGATGGGGAGGGAGAGAGATCAAAGGTTTTCATTTCTACAAAGCCCCAAGCTCCCCAAGAAAGTCCTTGGGCCCCCCTCCTAGCTTCTCGCCTGACCCTTCACCCCTCCCCAGCCGCCCCAGGATCAGCAGAAGGGCCCATGATTCTAGCTGGATCCTGTCTTCCCTTCAGAGCTGTCTTGACTCTGAAGACAAACACGTTAGGGCAGTACAGGGCTTGGGGTCTGGGCAACCCCGACTCACAACACCACTGTCCCCTGCCCACAGAGATCTGGCCTGTCGGAGTGGGTGGGGGACAAACTGTCTCCACTGCATCACGTGCCTCCTCCTGCCACTGCCCTCATTGTCTGCCTCCTGACTGCTACCCTCACCGAGTGCATCAGCAACGTGGCCACCACCACACTCTTCCTGCCCATCTTGGCCTCCATGGTGAGCTGGCCCCGTAGACACCTCCTCCAGGCAGTCTTCCTGTCCTCTCCCCCGGAGACCTCCCAGGGACCTGCCGCTGCACCTCCTCCCCTCTCCTGGAGAGGACCCCAGACTTCCACCCTTCTCCCCATCTTACACTCTTGGGCCTCAAGGCCCTCTAGCCCCTGACTCACCCCATCCCTGGTGACATCACCCCCTGGGTATCCCGATGGGGCTCCACGGTGGCCTCACCCACCTCTCCACCCCAGTCCCTGTTCTGGCCATTCCAGAGGTGACGAGGCAAAATTGCTCCCTGAAGCGTCCCCAGCCCCTTCCTCCCCAGGCGTGTTCCCGCAGCCTTTGATGACACCTCTGGAGCCCCTTTGAGATCCGTTTTATGGGCCCCTCCCCTCACTACGCCCCACAGGGCAGGGCTGCACACTCATCCCCTCCAGAGAGGTCAAGGGGCCCTTCCCAGGTCACATTTCTGACGGCACTGGCAGCTTCATGACCTGAGAGTATGTTGGGGGATGGAGCTGTTACCCAGAGGAGGGAGAATTGGGGACCATGCCTCGCTCCCCAGGATGGGGACCGAGCTCAGCTCTGCTCCACTGCTCCCCCTGCAGGCTCAGGCCACCTGCATCCACCCGCTCTATGTCATGCTGCCCTGCGCCCTGTCTTCCTCACTGGCCTTCATGCTGCCTGTGGCCACCCCGCCTAACGCCATCGCCTTCTCCTTTGGGGATCTCAGAGTGACTGACATGGTGAGTGGCAGGGAACACAAACGCCTCTCCTCTCCGTCCTGCCTGCCTTCCATCTCTGGGGACCACATAGTAGCTGAAAGCCTCTGAAATGCTCAGAGGTCAGCGGAGGGCCCTGTCTGGCTGAGGGCACAGAAAGAGAGGCTGGGCTGTGATCCCTCAGTTGGAAGATTGTCAAGCCCTGCAGCACCGGCCACAAGCAAGGAGTAGGACCTGAAGGTCCAGCGTCAGGCCCCCATGCTCAGAGAGATGAATTCAGAGAGAACAATCCCAGAAGCTCATGAGTACCCCCCCACCTTTCTTCCCTGTTAGGACTGGCAGGAAAGCAAGGGGCAAGGGCATTGCCTAGCACTGCAGGTTAGACCAAAGGCAGGACTTCCCAGGGAGAGGTTTGCTTGTGGGAGGACTCCTGAGCACTCCAGAATGCCTGCAGTCCGGGCACTGGTGCTGCTCAGCACCCACTCGGTCTAACTGACTCTCCTCACCTCAGGCCCGGGCCGGATTCCTGCTCAACATCATCGGGGTGCTGGTCATCATTCTGGCCATGAATAGCTGGGGCATCTCTATATTCAGCCTGCACACCTTTCCTTCCTGGGCCCAGTCAAACATCACCCAGTGCCTCCCCAGCCAGCCCAACCTCACCACGCCCAGCCCCTAGATGGGGGTGCAACCTGGCCAAGCCCACCTCCGTCCCACTCTTCTGAGCCAAGAGGAGACACCCAAGCTCCAAACCCAGGGCCAACAGTGTATGTGTGTACACAATCCCGTGCGTGTCTGTGAGAAGGTGTGTGCACTAGCTGCAGAGGATCAGAGGAAAATGAGTATGTCTGTATTTGTATGTACAAGCATGTGTGCAAATGAGAGCGTCCTACGGAGCTCTGTGTGCAAGCTTCACAGTGTACGTGTGCGCATCTGCAGAAAACCGCATGTCCTGCCTTGTCTTCCTGGCTCGGAAACCAGACCCCTTTGCACATATTTATTGAAACTTGGGGTTAAAGTGGCCTGGAAGCAAGGCCTGCTATGGGCACAGCCTTTGGGACTCCAGACGAGCCTCCCAGGTTGGGGAAGGGTTCAGATGTTCACCACATTAAAGCTTTTTTCAGTAGAGTCTGAGACAGTCTTTTCAACACTACGAGGTTCTGGCCTGGGTTAGAAGGTACGGGAAAGGGCCGGCGTCTGTCCCACATGGTGGCTCCCTTGGCACCCCTCCCGCCCCCAGGAGAAGGTAATGGTAGGGCACCCCCGCCAGGGCCCATCGGAGTGGGCGCAGCCACCCAAGAAAGCAGCACTGACATCACCAGCTGGCTAATTGGGAGCTGCCAGTCTCTGCGTGTCTTTGGGAAAACCGGCCTCCCCGTTCCCAGAGCACTCCCTGGGCATTTACATAAAACCCTCTCTCCCTGCCAATTCCTCACCGACCCTTCCTCCAGCTGGAAAAACCAGTCCCACCGGACTGGAGGAGGCAGGCTGACCCATGCCAGGTGCCCGGAAAGATGGACCCTCACCCCAAATGCCAGCTGCAGTAAGACAGGTGCAGGCTAGACTGGGGAACAGGCGCAAAACTGTCATGACTTTCAGAGTTAAAACCAAAACCAGACAATTTTGGATGACTCTGCCTCCTTACCCTTGCCCCTCCTCTGCCATTCCACCCCACATCCTCATAGACTCCAGAGTTTTCATCTGGAGGTGATACTACCCATTATCTACTCCGGGAGTTCAGCATCCCTTACTGGCCAGAAGTCCATCTGTGTGTCTATCCTAAGTCTCTGTCACTGTGGACAAAAAGACAAAAAAAAGAGAAAGATTTAGTTCGGGTTTCCCCTTGGGCTGGGCTTTCACTCCGTTTTCCCAGAGCTGACGGTTCATGGGGAGTGCAGCTGGGAGGGGGCTGCTGCTCAGGGGAGAACACTGCTGTCCCCGGGGGACAGGGGATCCTGACAGGACATGCCAGACATCCAGGAGAGTGAGGAGTGTCAGGCGAGTGGTTCCGCCCCCACCCTGGCCCCCAGGCTGGCATTCCTCATGCATGAAGCACACTGTAAATCAGGGCTCCCATCCAGACCCACACTAGGACCCTCGATGCCCCAGGCAACAGTCCCCCCACTGAGCGTAGGCCAGCTCCAGAACAGCAGGGCTCCCCAGTGGCTTACCCACAATGCAGTGGGTCCCTAAGCAACAGACTCTTCTATCCCCCTCAGCACCTGCAAAGTGCTGTGCTATTCTGCTACTGCTTTCTCCTGGACCCTGCATGGGTACCTGTACTCCAGCTTTGGCTGGGGAAAAATTTTCTTGGGGTGCATGTGCCCCACCCACCATTCTCCACTCCATAGCCATCCGGGGTATGAAGCTTGCCCCAACTTCTCAGAGGAAGGTGTACAAAAACCAGCCTGAGGGTCTAGCGGCCAGCTAGGTGGCAGGTGCCCTCGCAGGACTCAGGAACCAAGCCTCCCCCAAATGCTCAGAAACCGCCCTCCTCAGCAGGCAGGAGTGTGGCCGGGTGGCAGGCAGCACCTGTCAGCCTAATCACCGTCATTAGCTGGGCAATAAAGCAGCATGGACTGGGCCAGCCTTTGAAGGAAGGGCCTGTCGGCCGGGGTCAGGCGTGTACAGGCAGCCTAGCAGCTCAGGCCCTGTGTGCACACACTTCAGCTGCAGCAGGTGGATGAGGATTAGGGTCTTCAACTTTTCTCTTGATTTCCTGCTCCCCATCATTGATGATCTCCTGGAGGTAGTAAGAGGCTTTGAATGTCTCCTTCCTGCAGAACTTGTCAGCACTGGTGCTCAAGAACTTCTGAGGTCGTGAGTTCCCAGGGCCTTGGGGACAGGGGCAGAAGAAAATCAGTGAGGCTGGAAACAACTTGAGGACAACAACCAGTGGAGCCCACCCCCAGCTCCCACACGGGGCCTGGTGCAGTGAATGTTATACAAATGAGTGAATGCATTGGATGCATAGCGAAGCTTCTTTCTCCTGGAAGAAAGCTGGACAGGCCACCCTCAAAGACCCTTGCCGGACTGCTGTGTGTAGAGGGCTATGTGCCTTAAAACAGTGTCTTGGCTTCCGTGGGCCACAGTCACTTCAGGGTCAGCAGACAGGCCCAGTTTTCTGAGTCAACTCTTACTGTTGGCCTCTGCCCCTGCCTCCAAAGGCCCTGGGGCTTCCCTGTTTCCAACCTACTCCTGCTGGGCCAGGAGGCAACTACAGCAACCCAAAAGCACAAGGAAGTAGCTTTCAAGCCCAAGCAGGAGAATCCTGCAGGGTGGAAGAAGAAAGCTTCTAGGGAGATGGGAGCAGGGCTGTCGGTCCCACTCTCTGGTTCACTTTGAACTGTACCGCAGGTCACAGGCTGTTCTAGGGCCTAAAGTCCTCGGCTCCAGAACCATAAGTTCTCAGTCTCCCCAAAGGCTCCGAGGGGAGGCTGCTTCCTGGAGAAGGAAGGGCAGCACAGCCAAAGGGGACAGAGGGTTGGGTGGCACAGGGCGGGGACACATGGAGCTCCAGTGGGGAACCAGCTTACAGGAGATGCCGCTGTGGCCTCCTCCGTAGCCTGGCCCCCGTTAGTCATGATCATCAGAACCACAAAGGTTTTACTTTGTCGTGGTGGTTCTGGATATCAAACCCAAGAGTGCCCTACCACTGAACGATATCCCAAGCCCCCACCCCCATTTTTTTTTTTTTTTTTGGTCTTTCTGAGACAGGGTCTCACTATGCAGTTCAGGCTGGCCTTGAGCTCACTTTGTAGCCCAGGCTGGTCTCGAACTCACAATGATCCTCCTGCCTCAGCCTCCTGAGTGCTGTGATTACAGATATGCACACCACGTCCCGCTCCCCAAGCCCTTTTTATTTGTTATTTTGTGCCAGTGTCTCACTGAGTGGTCCAGACAGGTCTCTAACTCGCAATTCTCCTGCCTCCGTGACTTGAGTAACTAGGATTACAGATGTGCGCCACCACACCTGTAGAACCAAGGGGCAGGGAGGCTGAAGGCCTCAAAAGTGTGACACCCTCCCCCCCCCCCGCCAACCTTAGGGCCTGGAGGTTTGTGGTACAGAGGTCAAGGGAGGAAAGGGAGTGAGAAGGCTGATTGGAAAGATCATGACAAGGACACAGAAGAGTTGCTGTTAAGGCTGGGGAGACCCCTAGACATGATACACAGAATCATATACAAAAGAACCCATCAATACCTGTACAGGTATGCACACCTGTGCACGCATAGTCACACAGATGATTCTCCTATGCACCAAGTTACCAGCTCTTGAAGCTTTTCAGAGTCACACACAGAAACCCCACAGACAGACTCACAGAAATTTTTGAGACAGGGTCTCGTTATGCAGTTCAGGCTGGCTTTGAGCTCACTTTGTAGCCCAGGCTGGTCTTGAACTTACAACAATCCTGCCTCAGCCTCCTAAGTGCTGGGATTACAGGCATGTGCCACCATGCCCAGCTTTTTGACATTTGTACATCTGCAATCATTCAGTACTTCTGCACACAGAGCCAGACTTGCGTGTTCTCACAAGTACACAGATGCTCATGCACACTTACACATACGTTCTGGCATGGACACATCTAGCAGCACACGATCACTCTGCACCATGGCGACATGTGAGCGTGAGAGCAGAAATGTCAATACCTGCACACTCACACAGAGGTACACTGCACTGTACTTTACACAGACACTGACTCTAGTGAAAAATACACACACACACACACACACACCTGCTTGATTCTTCCAGCCTCTACAACCTGCAAACTGCCTCCTACAGCAGGAGGGATTAAAACCAGGGGAGCAGTCAGGTATGATGGTCCATACCTGTAATCCTAGCACTTGAGAGACTTGAAGCAGGAGGATCGCTGTGAGTTCAAGACCAGCCCGGGCTACAAAGTAAGCTCAAGGCCAGCCTGAAAGGCATAATGAGAGCTGGTCTCAACAATAACAAAAAAAAAAAAACCAGAGGAGAGAACCCCTCCCCATCTAGCAGGACTCTAACTGAGTTCCTTCCCCACCAAGCTTGGAAACTCCCTGAACTTCCCAGGGGGTCACCCAACCAGAACAACACAGACCTCCTATCTCAGCTCCGCACCTCACACCCTCTGACGTGGAGCTTCTCCATCGTCCACAGCCAAGGAGCTGCCTGCCGACCCCAGGAAGCCCACTCTGATTGGCCCAGATCCCTCCAAACCTCCTTTGACATGGAGTCCCTGTGCCAGCAACAGTTGGGCCTTGTTCCTCTGCAGATGTTCTTTTTTTTAGGGGGTGGGGAAGGAGTTTGCTGAGGCTAGAACCCAGAGCTAGAGCATGCTAACATGATTTACCACCAAGGGCCACCCCCAGCCCGTAGCTCTACATCTCTGTTCTTTTGAGGGGAGTTGGTATTTTAACAGTCTCACTGTGTATTCTAGGCTGGCCTTGAACTTGCTAATAGCCCAAGCTGGCCTTCAACTTGCAGTCCTCTTGCCCCAGCCTCCTGAGCACTGAGAGTACGGGTGTGTACCTCCACACCTGGCTTCTGTAGATACTGAGTGTCTCCCATGCCCATGGATTGAGACTTTGCAGACCAGGGAAGAGGCAGAATCAACCCTTGGAACTCATTTGGAGGACAGAAGTCCCGCTTCCACGAGCACAAGTGGATAGAGGTGACCCATCCTGACGGGGGATGCGTGGAAGGCGACCTTTCCTCCATCACACTGGGGCGCCCCAGCGTGGGAGCAGGCTCCTGCTCTGGGACCCCCCAGAGTCTTGCCCCTCCCCTGGCCCCATTCAGGCTGGAGCCCAGCTCAGCTCCATCTGCAGGCCTGAAAAGAGAGCCTGGGAATGGGGGAAACAGACCTGTGCAGAGAAGCCCTTCCCAGGGAAGCAGAGCCGACGCTGCAGAAGCCAGAACTGGGGCCAGATGCTAGGACAGACTTTTTGGGCCTAGGAGAGAACTCCGAGAGGCCGATGTGACAAGGGAAGGAGAGGATGGTCCTATCCAGGAGGAGGACAAAGACCTCACAAATCTTACAGTTCAGACGCTACGGAATTCCCAAGGCTCTTGCTCCAACTACCAGACTAGCAGCAGTGAGGAAACTGTGCTTCCCAAAGGGAAGAGGGAGCCAAAACCCACACCCACT